TTTTTTTTTTTAGTGCGTTGTGGGAGGTTGCAATGCTAGTTTTGCTTCCCAGAGTGGACTGGCTCGGCATGTACCAACACACTTCAGTCAGCAGAATTCTTCAAAAGTTACCAACCAGCCAAAGGCAAAAGAAGAGTCTCCTTCTAAAGCTGGAATGAACAAAAGAAAGAAGTTAAAGAACAAACGGAGGCGCTCCTTACGTAAGTCTGTGCAACGTTTTAGTTCTGTGATACGCTTTATAACCCCGCAGCTTACCTTTGATGGCTTGCTTGCTCTCAATAGCGCTTTTTTTTTTTTTTGCCTCTTTACCACCCTCTTGCAAATCCTCTCATTAGTAGCTTTGAATTTAAGATCTTGCTCCATGGAAAAGTCAGATGATTATACCTAGTATGAATGTACTTTCTTAACTTATCCTCAGCTCTGAAGTTGAAGGCTTCAGAATTAGAGCAGGCAGAAGCTATGTCTGATAGGATTTCTTTACTGACCAGAATACTTAGTTAGTTGGCATTCAGAGGGCAATGATTACTATCATTTTTGTCATCCTCTCTGGAATCCTTTATTAGGCCAAGAAGTAAACAATTAAAAAAAAATTATCTGATGCTGTATTAGCACCTGACAGTCATGGTTACTGAAGGCGTAGCATAAGGGATCTGCAAGGAACTGCATTCCCCAACATCATTTTGGATGATATTTTGAAGGAATTCACAATTTAACTTCTCAGGAATCACAATTTGGAGGGGGAGGCATTGTGGATTTGTAGTTATATTTTTGTAGACAATAATGAAAAAATAGTTTTTGAAACAAGCTTAATATATCCCTATATTAAAAGTTTAAAAAAAATCTCAGTAATCTAACTGAAATTTCATATTCAGACCGATTTTAATGTTTCAGTTTAGTTGAAAGGATAGCTTTAAAATAGTATTTTCCAAGCTTGGCAAATTAAAGATGTGTGTATTTCAATTCCCAGCATGCTGGCTGGGGAATTCTGGGAGTTGACATCCTTCCATCTTCAAGTTGCCACGGTTGGGAAACCCTTCTCTAAAAGGATCCGTGTTAGAATTTTTTTTTTTTTTTTTTTGCTTGACCTGATTACTTAGCATAGACTGCATATGATAGATCTGGACTGGAAAAACCTATTTCAGTTCTCATTCAACCGTAGAATTCACAAAAAATTGAACTGGTTGTATCTCTGAGTTCAGTCTTACATTACGAAGTAGTTGTAAAGATGAAGTGAGGTACAGTTGGAAGCTGTTTGTTTGGAAATAAGACTGGCCCAGCTAACAAAGATTTGAATAGTGTTTGTTGTTGTTAGAATTACCAACCTTTTCTCATGGCTGCCCTCCTAACAGATTCTTTGTGCTCAGACTCTAAAGAATCTTTTCCCCTTTGAACCCAGAGCACTTTCTGCACTCCTGCTTTCTCTTTCAACAACTTGGCAAGTCGTCCATTATCGGCTGGGATGCTTCAAAGAGGAAAGCTCCTGTAAGATAAGATCCATGAAAAAAAATGGAGGGGGATCTATATTGGCAAAATCCATTTTTTTTCAAGATGGACGTTAATACTGCTATGGTCTTGAGTTAAAAAATGACTTCTGCAGTGGCATAGGTGATAACTGCACTTGTATTGAATCAGCCACTCATTTCACAAAACGTTTAAGGTTTTAGGATATTGGATATATAAAGGCCTTGACTCTGCTGTCCTCTATAGGGCTGGTGCCAGACTGTGCTGGGGAACTCTTAACCACTGACAAGAGAATAGGAGTGGTCACACGTCATGGTAAGCCAGAATTCTGACTCGCTGTGAAAGAGCAAGCGTGCTTAATGAACGCTGCTCAATAGCTCCCACTTAGCTTCCACTAGTGGGACTAGCTAAGCAAACCAAGGAATGCTCTTTCTGAGGTTTGCTTATTGTGACACACAAACTATTTGGCTTCTTTCCCAGGTAAGTCAGGATTAGAACAAACCATGGTTTATAAGTCCAACAGTTTCGGGGGGGAGTCAACTCTCCTACTTCCTACATTGCAATAAAATAATCTTAGGAGTTTCTACAGGATCATGTTGGCTCTTGTTGATGATTCACATGTGTTGATAGCAAAAAAATGCTTTTTTTCTTGTGCATTTATTTATCACCAAGGAAAGGATATAAACATTGGAGGATTTTATGGGGATCCTTTTGCAGCCTACAGCATACTTTTTAATATTCCAGATTATGTTTGGAGTTGTGCTTTTTTTCTTATACAGACTTCAAAACAAAGTCCTGTTCAAATTGCCTATTAATTTTGTTTTTAAATAATTGCCTTTGGAGCCTATGTTGGGCTTAAAATACTTTTTAGAAAGAAAGATGATGGCAAAGGTTGGTATTTCATTTTATAGCAAGATAGCTTCCCTTCCCTTAGTTATTTTTTTAAATTTTTAAATTTAAATGGGAATATGTATATCTCTGTAGTTATTTTACAACATTTCTAATGTTGCAAACATTAAAACAACACTAGGCCAAACAACTAACATTTCCAGTAAAAAACAAAAATGTCATGATTCTGTTTGATGAAATGAAAGTGTTATAATTTGGTATTGAAAAGCCAAGAGATTCAGAGATGGGAAAAGAATTCCATAAAGTTGGGGTTACCGTTGAAGTAATGTGCTGCCTTGTCCGCTCCCATCTATCTCAAAAAGTGGAGGAACTTTGAAATCCTCTTGTAATGATCAAACCAGGTAAGCAGATCCTGTCCTAGCAATGAATCACTGAGGTAACTGGATACTGTGCTGTGTTGAGCTTTGAAAGGTAACTTTCAGGTTTTTTTTTTAATAGACTCGGAACCATAACCGAAACTAACTTAAAATATGTATTATTATGCATGTAGGGGTAGATGGCTACATTTTAGTTCCTCTGTTTTGTACCTTCTAAGTCAGGGGTCTTAAACCCCTGGGCTGCGACCCACTACCGGGCCGTGACCTATTTGGAATTGGGCCATGTGAGGGTTGGCCGGATCATGTGTGCGCGCGCAGTTGAACTTGCACCAGCAATGGGCTGGTGGAAACTTGCACATATGTGCACCAGTCCACCTCTTGTGCAAGGGCTCCATATGTGCGCAACAGCCTGCCACTCATGCGGCCCACTTCCCCTCTCCTCCCTCCCCCATGGGATCGCCAAGCCACAAAGGTTGGGGACCACTGTTCTAAGTAGTTTCCAGTGGCAGCCCCAAACAGAGCATGTTGCAATAGTCCAGTTCAGTGGTTAGAAAAATGTGATTTATTTGCTAGGGCTTCTGGGTCCATGCAGGGCCATAACTGGTTTAACACCTGAAGCTGGGCAATGCCCCATCTCCCTGCCCCATCCTGACAACAGTACTTCCTGACATTTAAAGATCAGTTCCTTCATTGGGAACAAACTCCACTCAGTATGACTACTGAGAACTGAAGTTGTTTGGATACCCCATGGTCTATTGAAAAAATAGCAGCTCTGTCTCGGAGGGGCTCAATCTGAACTTACTTTATCCCATTCAGATCCTCCCAGGATGTAAGCACGAGGTCTCTCGCTTGGCCTGGGGTGGCAGTATACAATTGGGTGTTATTTGCATAGCAGAGTTACCGCATTGTAGAGAGAGAGAGATGCAGCTTCCCACAGTGATTTTACATAGATATTAAATAGTATAAAGGAGAGTCCTGAGGAACCACACATAATAACCAAGGCCTTGAATGTTTCTCCTCCTTCATTTGTGATTGATATCACCACTCATGTAGGAGTAGAACCACCAATAAATATATTCTAGCATCTAATTTCTAATCCAGGCAGGTGAGCCAGAAAGATGCAGGTTCAATGGTAACAAATGCCACTGAAATGTCTGGAAGGTCCCAGAAAGATCAGCCACCACAGCAGCCAATGGCATTTCCCAGGCCAAGCCTCAATCCAGATAATTTGTTTCAGTTAGAATCTTTTGGATTGGAGATGGATCCTGGTTGGTTTTAAGAGTTTATTTGGTATGACCACCCAACCTGTAAATTGATTGTAGGTGACTTAAAATTGTAAAAAAGTATGAAAACAAAAGAAGTAAAAACACAGCAAACATCTGGAATTAAAGAAGAAAATAGAATACAAATGTACATTCCTAATTCCTGAGGATAGAATTGGATCTGCAGTTCTTGGTATTTCAGTAGTATTCATCCTGCCTGCACTTTGGTTAATTAATCAAAATTCTCATAATCACAAAATGAAAATTCTCTAGGACAGTAATAAAAAATGTTATGTTTCAATCATGGAATAGGTGTGTTGTTGAAAATAATCATAATCCTCCTGAATCTAAATTATGAACATTAGTGGTTCATGTGTTTCTGTGTTTCAGAATCTATCTATGCTTGGCAGATATTTGCATGGTTTTAAATCAAAATAATAAAGCATAAATAAGCTTTGGAATTGAAGCCATAGGACATAGAGCTGAATTATGCTTCTGTATCAAAGTTCCTTCCCCTTATAGGATCCTGGCATGTTCACAGTATTCTGAAAGTCATTGACTCCTCTAGAACTTTATGGGAGGTTTGGATGAGAATTTTCTTGGTGCAGCTAATTAGATCTCCTGATTCAAGCTATGATGTTCTGGTAGCTTGACTTGATTCCTTTGGTTTGATTGAAAGTCATGTTTTGTCTTACAAACATTATTGTAGTTAGTGAAAAATGATTTCCAAGCCATAGGGATTCATGCAACACATTAAGCTAAAGTCAAAAACATTATAGTTGAATCTGATACATAAACCCAAGTCATTGTTAAGTTGCATGTTTATTCATGAATGCATTTTCATTTCTCTGTGACTATAGCTTTAAGTATTGAATATATTGTTTGATTATGTGCCATCAAACTGCTATCAGCTCTTATCAGCTACATATATTTTTCCTCATGACAAAAAAACCCTGGTATTTCAGGTCTTCTAATGGCACATCCATTGCCATGAATGAATTCATCCATCTTGCTGCTGATTGTCCTCTTTTCTTCTAATGTTACTAGTATTAGAGCCTTCTCCAGAGAGACAAATCTTCCCAAAATGTATCCAAAGTAGGATAGTTGGAGTATGGCCATTTGCTTAAGAGATCTGTTTGGTTGTTTTCTCAGCTATCTACAGTATTCTCATGTATTTTCTCCAACCCCAAGTTTCAAGAAATTTCAATAGTCTTCCTTCCTGCTTCTTCAAATTCCAGCTTTCACAGGGATTACCATAATTTGCACTGTTCTGATCTTTGTAAGTAATGGACAATCACTGCATTTGAATATATTTTCCAAGGCTTTCATGGGTGCTCTACCATGTGCCAGTGCGCGCTATTTTCTTGACTATTTCTTCCTTTACTATTGATGGTTGATCCTAAAAGGCAGAAATTATCCATTACTTCAGTATCTTCATTGTCAATTCTAATAGTGATTGTTCTTCCTAATATCACGTGTTTCTTTACACAATATATAATTTTAGACCCCCTTTTCCCCTTTTCTTCTTAACTTTTATTACTAGAGCTTGCAGATCCTTGGTGTTTTTGCTATCAGAGTAGTCTCATAACACACAGGGTATTGGTTTTTCTTCCTCCAGTTTTAAAACTACATTGATCTTCTTCCAGTTCAGCTTCGCTTAATATATATTCAGCATGTAGATAAGGGGAGAAAAAAATAGCCCTGTTGCACTCCCTAAGTCAATCTGGAACTCTCCATTTCGCCATGTTCTGTCCATGTTGTGGCTTCCTCATTTGTATATAGGTATCCCAAGAGGAGAATGGGATGTTGTGGGATCTCCATTTTTCTAAGCACATTCATGATGGACACAATCAAAGGACTTTCTATAATAAATGAAATACATGGTGGCTTTTTTTTAATATTCTTTGGCTTTCTCAATTACCTAGCATTCATCAGCAATTAGGTCTCATGTTCCTTGGCCTTTTCCAAAGCCAGTTTGAACATCTGGCATCTCTTTTTCTGTGTGGGTGTCTAATCTGCATTGGGTGAGCCTGAGCATCATTTTACTAGCTTATAAAATCAAGGTTATTTGTATGATAGTTTGTTCATTCTCTTAAAGTGTCTTTTCTTTTGTATTAATACGTACTGCATTTTATGTACCTCTTCCAGTGTGTTGCCACTGTGCCACTTTCCAGATTTCCTCATATAAGCTTAGTTAAAACATATTTGTTTATTTTTCTGTTGTTTGCCATATTTCGGTGAGTATTCTACTAGTTTCCTACAGCCTTCTGACTTGATAATGATTAACTTCATCTTTTAGTGCTAAAGGCAGGGCAGGTGTGACATATGAATACTTTGATACATATCACTGATTGATGTCACATACAGGCTTTTCCTATTCCCACTGCCTGTTTAAATATAATATTGTTTGTTGAAAATTATGAAGTGATCCGTATCTTCAGTGACTTGATCTTGCACGAAGGTGTTCTTCAAAAAACCAAAGCTTAGCATTGCTGGATTTAATTCACTGATGCCAGATGATTTTGGTGCATGATCAGATGAAGTGTTATCCTTGTTCTGTTTTTTTTCCTGTTTGAGATATATCTAACTATAGTGGACAAGTGATGAAGGAAATCTACCTCAATATATATTTTAATGTATGCTCATTTGATAGTTATAATAGTGTCTCTGCTGAACAGCTGAAGAGAACTAGGAACCATAAATTTGGGCAATTTATTCAGCTCACCAACCTGGATTTGGATGCCTTCAAAAAAATTTTTAGCACAAAAAATATATTAAAAAAAAACCCAGCTCAATTTTGAAAGTGTCTGTGAGCACCCATTTTCCCCATGCTTGCAGTCCACATAATGAAAACAATGTTAGATCAAATACTTCTTCAAGAACTTAAAAATAATGTTATTAAAGTGGCAAAGTATAATTCAAATCTCCTATTCACATTATTGTGGTTCAGTTGAGCTCAAATCAGTAGCATTATATGCTCAGTGTGATAAATCAGAATTAAACTTTCTTACATTTTGTATTTATCTCATTGTCTTTGAATTGGATTTAAATAATTGCAATCATACAACAGCTAGTGTTGAAGTATTTTCTACAAATAAGCAAGAGATGCAAGCTGCTTTAATTAAAAAAATAAAGTTCTAGGGTCAAGGGGTAGAATTACAGCCCTGTGTGGTTCACACTAGCTGTAATCCAGAAACTTCTTGTATTGTTTCATATTTAGCAATATATAATTACATTTATTATATCTTGGTTGGTATTATGAAACTATTTAGTCATGAGAAGCTGTTGAATGAAGATTAATCTTCCATGGAATAAAACTGGAAAGGGAAAGAATATGAGCTGTTAAGCAAATATTTTATGAAAGATTTAGTTTCTGGAACCTTATGGATGGACATCCACTAACCTAATCGTTGATTGTATCTGAAAATGACCCTCCATGGCTATAAAAATATATGTATGTTTTATCAATTACAGGGAGCAATGCCAAGTTAACTGAGGTTAATTAAGCACACAGGTATAACATTGGAGATATCTGGTTTAGTAGCAGTGTAGTGCAGCCTCAATTTAAAGGACCATTAGAAATAGGGAATGCCTGTCATTCAGCTTCTTGGTCTGGGTTTATCAAGGAGCCAAACCTAAAAAAAAGGAATCAGCAGCAAAAAGAAAAATATAATTAAAAAGGCAGCACCAAAAGCTGAGCCAGGTTATCATAAATGTCAGGCCTTAAATGCTAAGAAGCTGGAAGCCAGAAATCACCAACTAAGATGTTTCTGAGGAACAATACATAAATAAAACAAATAACAGTGAACCAGTTGTGCACGAATAGGGGTGTCAAATTCGATTTCATTGAGGGCCACATCAGGGTTGTGTTTGACCTCAGGAGGCCAGAATGGGTGTGGCCAGCATGTGTTGGGGCCGCCTCTGGTTGCCCAAGCGCTCTGCCAGTGAAAACGGGCTCCTGAGCTCCGTTTTTGGCTGCGACGGCCTCCTGCGACCCTCTGCCAGCAAAAACGGCTCTCGGGAGGGCCGCATGTGGCCCTCGTGAGCTGTGTTTTCCCTGGCAGAGGCACCATGGGCCAGTCCTTCACTATTTCCAGGGCAGCCCCGCAGACCAGATCTATGCACTCCGAGGGCTGGATCCAGCCCCTGGGCCTTGAGTTTAACACGCCTGCCCAAGAAGGTATGTTAATGCACACATAGGCAGCATATTTCCTAAACGATGGATTTGTGTATTCTGGGAGAGGTTGGGACTGATATTTATTAAATCCAAAACCTATTGCTTCAAAACCTGATAAATGGAAGTTTTTGCTATTTTTTTTAATAATCTTGTAATACTAGTTGCTTGCAAATGAAAGTAAGATGGCAGTGGGATGTGGTTGCAAAATAAAACAAACATAGTTTTATTAATGTTACTACAAAGTGTTTTTTTTCAAATCCCAGGAAGTAATAGTTTCACTTTATCTTTTGTTTATCAGATCCTTTCCTTGAATGTTATGTCAAGTTCTGAAAAGAAAGAAAAAATTATAAAAATTGGTCCAGGGAAGATCAAGAATATTGATTTGAAGATGGGAAAATTAACACTGAATGCACTGGGAAGGGTTAATTTCGAAAGAGGAAAATGTAATTCCAGTTTTCAAATGCCTAAAAGGGTTTTTCAGAAGAAAAAGCCCTTCTAAACCTGTCCCTTTCTCACCTGAATGCAGACTTTGGAATATTGCATTTAAATTACAAAAGGCAAAACTTCAGTGAAACATTAGCTGATGACTTCCTCATAGTAAGAACAGTTTGATAATTTTAAAAATAGAATCATTGTAGATATATCCAGTTTTACAGCCTGTGTGCTATGAAAGCAGAAGGCATAATCTTTCTTCCTTAAAGTAAGATCAAAAAGCTGAACATTTAAATATGTTGCATACACCCTTGCATTGTAGTTGAAGGCTTGCTTTGTTTTTTTTCCCCTTCCTTAGCAAGACCTCATGACTTCTTCGATACACAGACCTTGGACGCCATACGGCATCGAGCTATTTGCTTTAACCTTTCTGCTCACATAGAAAGTTTGGGAAAAGGCCACAGTGTTGTATTTCACAGTACGGTAAGTATTATTATCTACCATGCTTGGTATATTTATAATATCTTCAATATTTTCAAACAGCCTTTCTACACTGAAATATACATCATTGTGCATTGTTATTACAGATTTAATTTAGATAATGTTGCTTGAAAAGTCTTCTGCAGAGACTTCTGTGCTCTTCTTCCCAAAATATATGCAGTTCATGTTCCTCTCTTTTTACCCTGTAGAACAGGGGTGTCAAACTCTTGTTGTCACGTGACGTATCGTGACTTTTCCCCCCCTTCGCTGGCGAGGGCGTGGCCAGCCATGACGCATCCAGCCCACACGCCACGAGTTTGACAGCCCTACTATAGAACATAGAAAAATAACTCTAGCCCTATAAAGTTGCTTAAGGCTGTGATTTCTCCAAGTTTACTCAGCAATTTTCATATTTTAATTGGTTAAATTTATTGCATATCTTTCATTCGGGACCTTCTGGTCTACAGAGCCTCCCTGCATTTAGTTTCTCTCCATTATAATTCTCAGGCAGATTGTTCTGAGAATGACCAGTTGAAAGTGATTCATGAGGCTCATCCAGCATCTTAATCACAGCCATGGATAAATGACCATTTGAATTCTGCTGTCAGAAATACTATCCTAGCACTTCAAATAGTTCTCCGGGCTATATATTTATTCTTTCCAACTTTGTGGAAAGTTGGAAAGAAATTAGGTAAAGAGGCTCAGAACTCTGTCCATAAATATGGTGATTCCTCATAATACAGGGGTGTCAAACTCTCAGCCGGTGGCTGGATGAGTCACGCACTGGCCATGCCCACCCCCGGTTTAGCGAAGGGGGGAAAAGTCATGATACATCATGTGACGATATGACACCGCGAATTTGACATTCCCGTCAGATCACAAGGTGACAAATCTGGTAGGGCAGAGAAATTGACAAAAGAAAAATGGAGATCTGAAATTGGCATGATCTGGCCAGGGGCTGCCGACCCCTGTGAGAGAGGTAGGTAATAGAGCAGTAGTCCAGAAAGCCGCCAGCTCCTGTGTTCTAGGACTGCCTTCTTTCCATCACATGAACCAGAGAATGCAACTCATCCCTGTGTTCACACAAACACACAAACACAACATAAAGGGCTGTAGAGACACTTGTTACTTCATTCCCAGTCTAAGTGCCATCAAATCAGTGTGGACTCTTATTGACTGTGTTGATATTCTCCAGGTTCCTTTCGGGTCTCTTAATGCGGCATTCGTACTAATTGCAATTGAATTTATCCACCTTGCTGGCAGTCATTCCTTTCCCCCGACTTTCCTTCCACTTGCCTTAGCATTATAAACTTCTCAAAACAGTGAGGCCTTTGTGTAATGTGTCCAAAATATAATAATTTGAGCCTGGTAATTTTGCAATTATTTCACATGAAAAAAACAAGACAATGAGTTGTCTCGTTTTTTTTAGCTGTTCCTTGTTGGAGCTTGCAGATTATTTGCATTTTCATCTGTCACAGAAAAGTGTCGTCAGCAGAGAGCAAGTTATTGATGTTTCTTTTTCCAATTTTAAAATCACAATCATCTCCTTCCAGTCCATCTTCCCTTAAAATATATCCAGCATAATAAGTAAATAAGGCAATATAGCTTTGTTTCACTCACTTTTCAACCTGGAGTCAATTTTATCTTTCCAGGTTCCATCCATACTCTGGCTTTCAGTGAGAACAATGATGATCTGGATTGTCATTCCCTAAAGACATTCCACAGATTAATATGGTCAACGTGGGCTTTTTGTAGTCAGTCAAATGCTTTCACTTCTTTTTAGTATTCTGTGACAATTATCCAGTGTGTATCAGCAAAGCCTTTTGTTGTTTAGCTTTTTTTCTAAAGCCAGGTTGAACATCTGGCATCTCTTTTTTCCATTTAGGCCTGTAATCTACGTTAGATGACACTGAACATCAATTTTGCTAACATGTGAAATTAAGGATTTTGTGCAGTAGTTTGTACAATCTGTTAAGCCTCCTTTCCTTGATATTGGCGTGAAGGCTGACCTCTTCCAATCTGCCAACAAGCCACTGGGTCATTGCAGATTCGCTGCTGTGATTAGAACCTTTATTAGATTCTTCTTTTGCTTTCTCTTCTATTTCTGTAGATGCTCCTTCAATTCTTATAGTTTATCCTACCTGTCTGCTGATCTGATTTCCAACTTTGTAGCTCACACTTCTGAATAGGGAATATCATGAAAGATATCTTAGATGTTGAAATCTCCTCTCATTTCTATTCGATCTTTTCTGAATGGCTACCTGTTCATTTTAGCACATTGATTTGAGATTGGAATCTCCGGGGTGTTGTGATCTTTTGGAAGTTTATCTGCATTTTCCCTTTCTGTTTCTATTTCATATATTTTAATTTATTTTTATTTCATATTTCTTAACTAGATACAGGTGCTGCTGTAATCCTGTTCCTTATCTCATTTAACAGCTTTTTTTTTTTTTTTTCTTTTTGGTTTGAGTTCTTCCTGAGATCTTTGACTTTCTTGGTTCCTTCCTCTTCCTGGCAATTTCTATCACCTGTTCTGGCATCCTGTTTGGTGTCTTCTATTTCTTGGTCTTTGACAGTCTTGTTCTACATTTACCTTTTATAACCTCTTTGATTTCATTTAACAATTTCTCTGGTTCTCTCTCAGTGAGGTCCAGGGCTTCAAAGCAGTTCTTGATACTTCTTGAAAATGGTAGGTATACATTCAAGGTTATGTTGTGAAAACTTTTGGCTTTGATCTTCCTCTTTAGTTTGGTATGGAACCTGCACATAATCAGTTCATGATTTTTTTCTCCCTGCAATCCACTCCTGTCTTTGCTGGCTAATTGATCTGTTACAATTGTTTGTATCAATAATCAGTGGGATCTTCTGTAGTCTCCATCTAATGACCTCTATGTATTCAGAAATTGTTCTGCTTGAAGAATGAATGTGCTGTAACTAAAGAAACCAGAAGGTGATAAGTTGTTCTTAATTCCTGTTTCCTGGTCCATACTTTTTGCTACATTTTGCTCCTATATTTCTAACTTTGACATTCCAGTCTCTAGTCATAAGCGGCAACTCTTGCTTGCATGTTCTGTCATTTTCAGATTGACCTTGACCATAAAACATGACATCTTGCATCAGTGGTTGAAGTAGAAACTTAGATGAGCGTCTTTTTAAAGGACATTATCTGCAAATTCTAATACAGATGATATTTGGTCCTCAATTGCATTGTGCACAGGTCCTGTCCTCCTATATCCTTTCTCACTGAAAGTGGGGCTGTTTCTTCTTCGTTTTTGGGTCCTGCGTAGTAAACAGTACTGTTAGGGATATACACCCTAGCAGAACGTGCAACGGCAGTCTAGCAGGCAGGCAGATATGTGAGACAAAACGTTGTAGTAGCTTACAATCAGTAAGACAGATACACTGTGCAAGTTAAATAGTTTTTATTCCAGCAAGAGTTATAGCATAGTCAAAACAGTCCATATGTCATACACTAAGTTCAGTCAGTCCTGGGGTTATTCAGTTTGCAAAGTCCAGTGTCGAAAAAGAGTTCATTAAACTTACAATCAATCAGTCCAATGATATATCTCTTTTGCAGTCAGAGATATGAAGAAAAATCAAAGCCCTTTTCTTCTCTCAGCAAACACGCAGTTATCACCATCAAGCCATCATTGTCAGCATTCCAGTAAAAGTCGAGCAAACAGTGAGCTCTCTTGCTCCCTCTTATGGTGATTTTACAACCGCACCCAAAAACTTGGTTTACAGTTTAAAGTGATACACACAATCATAGTCTCTATATATTATTTTACCCAAATAAGTTAGGTAACCAATGTTATCCCTAACAAGTACGATTTTCTCACTCAAAAGCATCCAATTCCAATCAGTTTCAATTATCTAATGCTTAAGGTGTCAATCTCTATCATCACTTTGTCTTGCTTTTTCTGCCTCGAGCATCCCATATTTGTGGTTTTACGTTCTGTGTTCCCGTTATAATTCTGTCTTTGCCACTTTGGATTTTCTTTCTCCTTTTACAGCAACCTCAGCGATTGAACCTCCTGAAGGGTTTATGGTCATAAGTATCATTAGTGCTCGAAAAGAGCCTCAGATGTTCCTTAATGGTTTAGGTGACCCTGTTTGGCATGCATACTTTTGACGTGTTTCCCTGGTGTCCTTCGCCCATCTCTCTCGAATCCCCTTCCATCACCCCAATAAGGTAGCAGAGCAGGGACTTTAGGATGAGAGGGTGTAATTGCAGAGAAGAAAATACAAATATTTCCTATGTTTGTAGAGCTAATAAAGAGATTGGAAAGAATTCCCTACTTTGCCTGAAAGCAGTAATGAGAGAAAATAGCTTTATTTTTGTAAGTGTTGAAAGGATGACAGAAATTGTGCTATGACACTTATCAGTCATTTGACTGTTCTTCCCTACTTAGGTGCAAGTATATTTTGGAGCATGTCATGCTGTATGCAAATGTCCCTCCATCTTACTATAATTTACCCAGTATTTTAATTGACGTTCCTCTTTACCCTAACTAGCCAGGCGATTGATGAGACTTATGGGAGTTATTGCTGAGGATATCTGAAGGATTCAATCCTACTCTTTAATTTTAGTTAACTTCACTTATTCCCACTTGCAAGATTGTCCTAGAAAGAGAGAACAATTCCGACCATTTGGCTGTCTGTGTGATGGCCCATTGTCCTATCCTTCTTTGGGGTCAGTACTTATGTAAATTTTCTTCATCCACAAGTTATTTACACACCTTTTTTGCAGTGGGCTGCAAAGTACTTCACAACCCTACTCCAGTCTCCTATTGCAAAACTAAAGAATGACTATGGGCTGGTTGTCTGGGTTATAGGGAAGGAGATGAGATCTGAGTGGCTACACCTGGGCAGAAGCCCTTAGTAGAGACATTGCTACGTAAGGTATTGCTCTTAGGGTTTTGGCATTGGACTGATTATAGTTAGCTTGAAATTCCTTGCTACTCTACTTCAGAACATGGATCCAAATCAGAACTTAGCAGTCATTATTCACCTGTGTCTAATTTAGGCTGATCGAATCCATAAAAAGTCATTTCTGGTGAGATTGGCAGCTATATAAATTTGACAGTTATGTGGCTTGAGAAGAAAGGAGTAGGAAGCACACGAATCATCAGCCGTTTCAAATCTTGCGTCTGTGGTTCTGGAGATCTAAGTGCAATATCTGATGGTGGATATAAAAGTGAGGATTTTGCAGATTTGAGAATGAGAATTATTAGCAACACTCTTGCAATAAAATTCTGGGAGAAGGCACAGCTGCTTTAAGCAGTGACAGGCAGATGCTGTATGAGTGCTGCACGTTTCAAAATGTTTAGTGGCTGAAACTAAATGGTATAATTTGGAAGAGTAACTAACATCTTTGAGTTGTTTCTGTGGTTCTCCAGGAGAGGTCAGCAGAACTCCATTTGCATATATGTAACCCTCACTCTTGGTAAAGATTGACTTTTCAAAAAGTCCGCAATAGAAACGGGAAAGTTTTGTTTGGTGCGGAAGGTATTAATTTCTTTGTCAGAATCTTCGCAGTCCTATGAATGCTCCTGCAACCCTTTGAAGACAAATCAAGCAATACTCTGATTGCTGATTTGTGGCTATTTGTTTCTTCTTTGAAAGTCTTGAGCAAAAGTCTTCCCATTCCTCTCACCAAGATGACAACAGGAGCTTTGAAAAGAAATTTCTTTTCATGAGGAACTCAGCTGTTGCTTTCCCCCATCGCCCTCGATAAGGCTCATTGTTGTTACTTGGTAAGACACCTTCTGAGGGATCTTCTCAATCCACATAAAAAGAATATTGAAATTAATGCCCTCCAGATGTTTTGAACTAGAGTTTTCTTAATACCTCACTATTCACCAATTTACTGACGATAGTTATTGGAATAATAGTCTAGAATGTTTAAATGACACCAAGTTGTAAATGACACCTGCAATGTAGTAATTCTTCTTCTTTTGATATCTTGATTGATACATAAAATATATTATCTGGCCAGTTGGGCCTCCTCTCTTTTGGCTTTTGTATTTGTGAAGTGCTTTCCATGGGTTTGAAAACAGTTACGGTACATCCAGACATCTTGCACCTATTTGAATTTTAAGAAAATAACATGGAAACAGGTAAAACTATTTCAGGCATGTTTTTACATCAGTTGTAATTTCCAAGTTTCTAGAACTTGCTTTACGATCAGCCTTGTATTTCTGTTTTATATACGTTTGTTGCTGATGTTTGCTAGAATACCTGGCTAGCATTTAACAATATTTATACTTTCTTTGAAAGATTGCCTTTAAAAATACACTTTTATAGATCCTTGTATAGAATCTTTGCTAATAATACTGCATTAAGGCTTTTGGGGGGGGGGTTCTTTTAGAGCGAGCGTAACAATTTAGGATGCAGGATAAGAAAATAATAATGTATCATCATTTCTACTTTTCAAATTAGATGCTAATGTTCAAACATGACTTAGAAGGTGGAAGCTCCTATGCAACCCCCCTGTGCCCTAATCACTTGAACTGATTAGGATGAGCTCTGATTCTCTTTTGAGAACCTCTGTGTGTAGCTTTTTACCTTAATGCATAAGGCAGCTTTCCAAGAGAGGAGTAAATATGCAGTATTTCCACTGGTTTTACGCAATGGGGGTTTACAGTGTTTGCCATTTTCTCTAAATCAACTCCATTCCTAATTTTCTTACCAGGGCTCCCTGCTTGAGGCAGGCTTGCCTTTTCTATTTATTTAGAAAATATATATGGTTGCCCACCTTAACCAAACAACTCTGAGCAGCTAACAACATAACACAAAAATACATTTAAAAATAAACATAGAAAATAGAAAAGCTGAGGCACCCTCATATATCATTCTCAGTCCCCAGACTTGCCTATATCGGGCTCCACTAACAATGTGGTCTTAATGCTTGAAGGAAAAAAGCCAGACTGGAAAATGTTTGAGCAATCAGAATTTGGGAGTCGGCCTAAACAATTCCCTCTGACGCCATGGCATTTTAAGTCCTGTTTCTACATTTCTTCAAGCAGCCTTATCCACAAGTCTTTATCTTTCATGCTTCTAAATTTCCCAGGGACCCATTAGCTTTGAAAACAGCTCCAATCCCTGTTACACCAGATACAGAATTCTAGAAATGTGTCTGAAACGTGCAATTACAAGCTTATTTGTCTGTGTGGCTTTTATCCTGTGCTTAATATTTCTGCAGAACATCAAGACGTTTCCACTTTTGGGCTTGAGCTACCTCTTTATGCAGTCCATTCATGATGTTGAAGGCAAACAACCGATTTGATATGTCTTATATGAGTTAAACTAAGAAACCTACTGTTTTCTTCCACAGGATGCAAAATACATATAATGTGCAAAAACTTTCCCCAGCTGTTTTGAGGTGGCAACATGGCAGCATGGGGTGGCAGCTTTGAGAAAAGCAGCCAGTGTATGTCAATGTTCTCAACCTTAGCCACTCAAAAATGAGTGGACTTCAACTCCCAGAAATCCCTAGTCAACATGATATATTTGTTTCAGAAAATGGAGGCAGACATTGAAAAGGGAACTAACTATGTGTATATTAGCATCATCTCACATAAATTTGAACATCATCTCAAAAGTAAACTGTTTTTAGAGAAGAAGAAAGCTGCTTCGATGTCTATCAGAATCCATGAAAAAAAAAACTGTAAACCAAAACACTTATTGGACCAGATATTTTTACGGGCAGGGAATTCAAGAAAGAGCATAAATATTTCAAGTTGCTTTTCTCATGTTTGCTTTTAGGTAATAGCTAAAAGGAAAGAGGACTCTGGAAAAGTTAAGTTGCTGCTTCACTGGACTCCAGAAGATATGTAAGTATTTATACTCAGTAGTAGATAATTTGGGCACCTGCAAAAATTACGATATTGTATTTTACACAAGCATACACAGAATTTTCAACTTACTGAAGAGGTTCATGTGACTTAGGCTCATAGCATTGTTATAAAGCTCTGATGGAGAATTAAAATTACCAAGTTAATTCATGCATTTGAGTCTTCATTAAGCAAAAGTAATATTCATTAGGAAGTCAAAAAGGAAAGCGACTTTTACCCTTATTACAGTGCTGAACACATCCATAGCTGAGTTAAATTTTGTTTGAGTTTTTTTGAACATATTGGAAAGAAGGTATATGCCTTAACCCTGTGTTAATTAGCACGTTTCCAAAACTAAACAGAAAAGGTGGCCAATAGCAGAAATATTCTTACTTGTATAATCAGTAAATACAATCAATATATATTGTTGAATGTTCTTTAGTTTTTTTCATTGAAGATGCATATGATGTTTCAACTTTGCTAAAGATTGCAAGCTTTTGTTACCTTGTTAACACCACAGAAGCAGTTGCTAAAAGGGCTTTGAAATCATTATGGAAAGATACATTCATTACCAATATTAAAATCAGCAATGCTCATTTGAACTATAATTAGCTTTTTCAATAAACAAAAAATCAGGGTATCAGAAATTAGCAATTTTTAAACAGTATGTTCACATATAGAACATACCGGTATATATTCCTTTTTTCTATCCTTTTCAACAGAGGCACAATTCTGTTTTAATTTTAATTCAATTTAACTCAGTTCAGTGGACAGGATGAAACGTCCATTTCTCAATTAACTTTTTGAAAGCTCCTTAACACTGGCCAAAATAAATTTGTGGAAAATGTCTTTCACATATTTGCCATTGCTTTTCAAAAGTAGACAGTTGTAGTTCAGTTTCCCAAATTGAAACTGGTTCTATGTTTTTCACTAACAGAAGGGTAGTTGAAACTTTTAGTTAGCTTTGAAGAAATAATGCATGGATATTTAAATAAAGTCACTGCCTGGGGGTGCTATTATTTTGAATAATAATATTAATCATTGTAATTAATGCTACTTATGTGAGATTTTGAAAAGCTCCCAGTAGATACACATTATGCTCAATGGTTAAGACCCTGGACTTGTCAGCTGAAAGCCAGTAGCTCAGGTTTGAGACCCGAGCAACACATAACTAGGTGAGCTCATGTCCTTGCCCCAGTTCCTGCCAACCTAACAGTTCGAAAGCACGCAAATGTGAGTACATAAATAGGCACCATTTTGATGGGAAGGTGTAACACCACTCCATGTCATCATGCCGTCTATACTACCATGGAAATAACTTTGGATAGCACTGGCTCAATGGCCTTGAAACAGAGATGAGCACCACCCCTGAAAGTCGGTTACAACTAGCAGGGTAAAATCCACAGGGACTCCTTTACATTGTTGAGAATGCTATCCTCAGAGCCAAACTAATATTATTGTTATCTCTTTGCATAGAGAGGTTGAGCTACTGTCAAATCATATAGGGCTTCTAGAACAGGGGCGTCAACCTCGTGGCCCACGGGTTGGCTTCGTCATGCGCTGACCACGTCCACCTCCGGTTTAGCAAAGGGGAAAGTTGCAGTTACACGTTGTTGCGATTTTGACACCCCCGTTCTAGAAAATGGCATAGAATTTTGTGCCTACGGATGCTTAATTTGGGCGAGCCTCCTATCCCAATCATCATAACTAAAATGGTAGAAATAAAACGTTACTCCCTGAAAGAGATGCAGCCTTTTTGGATGTAGAGGGGGAGAGCCTTGTCCTGCAACAAAAAGGTTTGGAATTACAAGTTAAGCTGACTGTGATGCTCAGAGAGAAGCAGATTTCCAGCCAAATCTTTTTGGCAGTGCAATGTTGGCGTGGATTTTTTTTTTTCCCCATAAGAATTGACAGCAGCTCTTTTACCAGTAGTGATAATGGAGAGTGAATCACTGACCTTTTTTTTTCTGAATATTTTATTTTATTCATAGTCTTCCTGATGTGTGGATAAATGAAAGTGAAAGGCATCAATTAAAAACTAAAGTAGTTCACTTATCAAAACTACCAAAAGATACTGCTTTGCTTCTGGACCCAAACATATACAGGTAAATCTCCTCATTTCTGGATGTTCGCTTTGCCCAGTGTGACTTGATGCCTTGTGTAACTTTTTGAAGCTGTCCCAGAGCTGCTATCAGTGCAGGTCGCCAAAGTAGTCAGTGCTATTCCTCTTTGATCGTTCACCTTCACTCATATTTTTGGCAGATGTTAGAGGAAGAAACATTTCCTTGTTTTGACAGCATCCAGAAGTTAATTTTCAAGGCTTGAGGTCACATGGCAGCTTTTGAACTGAAACTCTGGCTGGTAAATATGTGTATTTACCGAGTGTATTTTACTTTTTTGTGCTTGGTGTACAGAAAGTCTAGTAAAGGAGGTACATTCAGTGGAATCCTGAAAGATCACTTCTCTTAAGATCACATGCTGGTTTGTATACCAATTTTTTAAAGTCCAAATTTTATCTTTTTTTTAAAAAAAAGAAAAAATCACATTCTGTTCAGCCTGTAATACATACAGTATTACTTTTAAGATCTTAGTGCTCTGTGCAATTTAAACAAATTAAATGCCTTTTTTCTTTTCATTTTGGGGTTAGGATGGGGACTGACCTATCATAATTTACTGTTGAACTTTACTATACAATTAGAGTCTATATTTTTTTATAATAAACTCTGTTTCCCTGAAAATAAGACCTGTTTCAAAAAATAAGACCTAGCATGTTTTTACTTGTGCGTCTAATATAAGCCCTCCCCCTCCCCAAGATAAGCCCTAATTAAGAACCAGCGCCACTGGCCACCCACCTGTTCCATCTGGTTGCTCACAGTGATGCGGGGAGTGAAGCTGCCGCAAGCATCTGACACCAGCTTACCTCAGGGCCCCCGTAGCCAGGTCATCCACGCCCTGACACCTGCCTCCCAGCCATCCATGCCCTGACATCAGCCCACTTCTGCTTGCTCGCAGCCGCAGTGGAGCAGGAGGCTGAGTGTGTTGGTGCTGTGGTGCGAGGCAGGTTTTGGGGCATGAATGGCCTGGCTTTGGGGGACCTGAGATAGGCCAGGGCGGGGCACGTGGGGCATCTCACCCCACCCCCACCTCGCAGTGGTGACACTGCCCCACCCACGGCCTCCTGCCCCACAGCCAACCAGCAGAAGTGGGTCTCCCGTACATGGGAAAAAAGATACCCCCAAAATAAGCTCTAGTGCTTATTTTGGGACCCAAAAGAAAATAAGACCTGGTCGTATTTTCGGAGAAACACGGGTATGATTTTGTGAAAACACTGTAAATGTCATCCCAAAGTTGATTTTCCAAAAGGCAACTGGACTTTCTTGGGTTTTTTTTTTCCTTGAAAGCATTTTGCTTCTCATCCAAGAAACTTCAGAGAACTGAAGAAGCTTCTTGGATGAGAAGTTTTCAAAGAAAAAAATCCAAGAAAATCCAGTTGCCTTTTGTAAAATCAACTTTGGGACAACCATGACTTGGATGATTGAGAATCTCGATAGACACACATAAGTGTCCATAATTATATCTCCTGTGCTTTTTTCCTCAAAGGTAATCTGAAAAGAACTGTTTTATGATTTGTTGTCAAAGTTATAACTATTTTTTTTTGCTGGTATTGGGTCTTTTAAATGTTAGAAGCTCCAGGTTCTAATGCCTAGCAAGTTTTATTACCGGTAGTCCTTGACTTGCAGTCATTTGTTTAGTGACCAGTTGACCTTAGAACAGCACTGAAAAAAGTGACTCATGACTGGTCCTTTCATTTACAACCATTGCAGCATCCTCACAGTTATACGATCAAAATTCAGGTACTTGGCAACTGGCATGTATTTATGACAGTTGCAGCATCCTGCACACACATTGTGATTGTGTGATCTTACTGTCTGGTTTCCAACAAGCAAAGTCAACAGGGGAAGCCAGATTCGCTTAACAGCCACGTTATTCATTTAATATGGATCTAGGAATTTAGGAAATTTCCTAAAAAACATAAACTTTCAGTGCTTTGCTTAACAACAAAAAAGCATATAAAATGGCAAAAAAGCATATAAAATCAGTTGTAACAACCCTTCTCGCTTAGCAGCAGGAATTCTAGTCCCAATTCTGGTTGTAAGTCAAGGACCTCCTCTAAAGTCAATCTCAGGTTGCAGAGATAGGAAAGATATGGGCCCAAAACATTGTGGAATTGTTAAGTGAAGGGAGCATGAAGGGACATACTCTCAATCATTCTCACGACAACTTCTATACACAGCAGTATGTTTATAGAACTGCATACTATAGGCTCATCTGAGTCCTAGAAACTTTTTAGCTTACCTTTTATTTGTCATACTCAAGATTAATCCATTTAAATTTTGTCTTGGGAAAATACATGTTGTTAAACATATTATTTAACAGAAGTAATCATACTAGTTAAATTTGCAATATTAATTATAAAGCAGCTTTATGGCCCTTAACATTTTCTTGGGGTTTTAATTACAGTGCAATAATGTAAAGTCATATTTCACATCTGGCACCAGTTTCTGAAATCCTCTCATTTTTAGTCTGTTTCTTAATTAAATATATAAAGCTCTGAGGAATACACAAAAGCCTTTTTGACAATTGTAATCTTTGTCAGAGGTACAGTGGGAGCAAGACAGATATTCTCATCAGAAATAATGGGAAATATTGTGATAAATACAGTTCTGAAACCGGGGCCGTTATGGAGATGAAAAAGCTTATTAATTAATCTTTTTTTTTTTTTTTTGGAAAAGTGAGAGATGGGAGTCTTTGATTAATATGAATATTTTCTGTGGGCTCCCATTTTCTGAAAGATAATATCCACATAACTCCAATTCAAATCAGTATCTGAAGAATAAACAGAAATATGTCGTTCCTTCTGCTTCCAGATGTTTCGAATACTTAATTTTTCCCCACTGACTTCAACCTGGTTGTCTCCTCAGAAAGCGTGCCAGTCCTCTTACCTGGCAGTAGAAGTGTTTTTCCCGTAATGCCGTCTTAATTCCCAGCAGGAAGAACCTGTTAACCAGAGCAAGTTAAACTTCCTTTGAGAAGCCACCAATGCTGTGTTTCCTTTTCCTTCCAGAACAATGCCACAGAAGAGGTTGAAGAGGTAAAAATCGACTTGGTGGGGGCACCTAACCTACCGTCTTAATCACTGACCATGGAATTAGAATTGCACATTCCTTGAGTCCTTTACCTTTATCTACTCACACACAGACACAAATACACAGGCACACACACCCTCAGACATGGCACACCCACCCCCTCTGTGTCCGACTGCTGCCAGCCTATGATTGGTCTAACCATTCTGTGAATGAAAATGAAGCATCTTATGGAATATATTATATATAAATGTCTAACATACCTTTAATGGGACGGTACAATGGTGAAGCTTCTCTGGCATGCTCACCAATGTTTTTGTTTTCAGTGACTTTTTTGAAACTTGTATTGGATGAATTGGCAATCCCTGAATTGTCAGTTGAAAACCCATCCTAGTCGTTACTCACATTTTTAAAAAAAAATTGGGGGGGAAATCTCATCATTGATAAGCAACAGCCAGAGAGAATCCTTGGTGAAGCATCTCCGTTGTCACTTTAGTGAACTTGTGGTGTCCAATCACATAACCTTAAGTGGTGGTATCATGTTTAAGCAAAATGGTGGTGGCATACTTTGATTTTTATCAATATATATATATTCATTCATTCATTCGTTCGTTCAGGGGAGGTTGATCAATGTTAGGTGTTGCTGTATATCCAGTCCTCTTCATAAGATATTACTGTATATCAATCAGACTTTAATAATATCTATACAAAAAAGAAGAAGAAACAACATTGGTTTTATATTCTATTTGGCTTTTAAAACTCCAGCTTGCTTTTAAAGATTATATTGTCTCCCTTTCCCTCCTTTTGGCCTAAATGTTTCTGTTTGTCAAAAAAGAAGTATTTTTTAAAAAGAAGCATTTAAAAATACAATCGTTTATGCACCAAAGTTGGCTATGAAAAGAATTAAATTGCTTCCTCACTTTATTAAGCAAGGATTTACGAAAAAATTTTTAACCCTACAGGAATAGAAAACTTGTGTACTTTGTCTTGTATTGAGACAAAAAAAAAAGTTGCATATAGAGAATGAGACATTGCTTGTAAATAGTTTTGCAGATTTGTAATATATTTTTATATCACAAAATGTAGATGTTTTTCCCTAGAGGCATGGAAGTTAAAATGTATATATTATGGTAGAAATAATATTGAAGGATATTGTATGTCATTAGCGCTGCCAGAATTTGTTTAAAGCAAGCACCTTTCTTAACAATAATATGTCTCTTGGATTTCTAAGAGACTCTATACTACTGTTAATAAGAACAAAACACATTGATATCCTTTCAGAAATCTTTGAAGGATGCATAATATCCATAGAAGGTTTATAGCACCTCACTGCTGAACATGGATATGAAATCAATCTTTTTCCTTGCTTGTTGGAAGGAACAAATGTAAAATAAATGACTTAATAAGGTGGCTTATATGCAGTCAAACTGCATGATTAACCTAACCCTTCCTGTTTAGGAGGATTTTGTTTTTGTTTTTTATTTTATTTTATTTTTTGCATTACTACAGCGACTTTTTTACACTATTTTTTTTTAATTAAACAGCAAATAAATTAAAGTCTAAAGTTTTGGGAGATAGAAGTTGGGGTTGTTGTTTTTTCCGAATTGTATAAGGAGAGCTGCCTTAATGAAGGTAAAATGCTTGTTTGTTGCCTGGTGGATTTAGAATGTTTTCACAAACATTTAAATTTTATTATTGTGCAGATTTAGAAGCACTGCTGACATGGAATGGTTCTGGAATACTGTAGCTGTTTGACAATGGTATTTCATAAAGATCTGTGGCAATGTTAACTATTTAAAACAGATGCCGTGTTTGTTTTGTCTTTTGTTTTTAATTTTTGCTTAAGCACTTCAGTTACTGCTTTATCTTCATTAAATGGTCATCTGTAATTGCTTGGGTTCCTTTTCTTTACATTGCCAAATAGGTGTTTTTCAGATATAGTTTGTATTTGTATTTTTTTTAAGTCTTATTGTTTCATGAATCTCTTGTATGCCATTCATAATTGACAGATGATTGTAGACTTTTCTGGAGTATTTTTTCTAATAAAAGAAAGCAAATGCAACTACGGTTTAAGGTTTTTGAATGTCATTTACATATTGCAATACCACTTTCCATTACAAAGGATCCCAAAGCAAGACTTCAAAATAAAAATGAGATTAAAAAAAAACAGAATAGAGGCCAGGATTAACTTACTTCATTGAAAAACAACTACGGCTACGCCTCGACTTATAACCATTTCTTTAGTGACCAATCAAAGTTACAGCAGCACTGAAAGAAGTGACTTATGACCGTTTTTCACACTGCCATTGCAGCATTCCCTGTGGTCACATGATCAACGTTCTGGTGCTTGGCAACTGGCATGTACATATGACAGTTGCACTGTCCTGGGGTCATGTGATCACCATTTGTAACCTTGAGCCGAGTCAGTGGGGGAAGCAGTGATTCGTTTTAACAGCTGTGGCAAAAGGTCGTAAAATGGAGCTTAACCACTCTGCTTAGCGATGGAAAATTAAATTACCAAGGCAATTAAAATGCATTCCTGAACACCAAGTGAGCCTTTCTTTGGGGTGTTATTTTTTTTTTTTAAAAAAAGATCTATTTAGATAGAAACCATGTTTCAATATTCATCTTGCTTTAATTTTTCTTTTTTAAAAGATAAGTTAAAAGTTGGCTAAGTGATGCCTTCGGCTATCACAAAGTCTCAATTTGGCCTCAAATCCTAATGTTTTTATGGACACGTTGTAGAGTTGTGCTTTAACGATAACAGAACTCATCTGAAAACTAGGCCTTCCAAGAATTCTTTTTTTTTTCTCCCAACTTTCCACTCTACGCTACAACCTAGCCGTCTTTCTTGGGTTTCACCTGCTTAGGTTTTCAACCTAAGGTCACTTCAAGGTCACTTCATTCTGCCACCTGCTATAAATTTGAATGCTTCCATTTTCTTCTAAAGGGTACTAATCTGGTCCTTTGAAGGATGCTTGTGAAGGACAAAAACACCCAGTTATCAGAAGGCAAATTGATGAGGTTGCTGTCTATCACCTTATGCAGCTTTCCAAGTATTCTCTTCCTAGGCAAGGTTTGACTGGGTTGTAACCAATAGCACCCCCCCCCCCCCAAAATGCCTCTACATTATACTTATACCTCTTATCTTATAAATACTTGAAAAACAAACAAACAAACAAATAATACATAGAGCAGAAAATCATGACAGCCAATTTGGTTCATTGGTTAAAGCATTGGACTAACTAAGATACCGTGTTTTTCATATAATAAGGCCGGGTCTTATTTTATTTTTTTTGAGCCCCAAAAAATGGCTAGGCCGTCTTTTCGGGGGTGACTTAATTCCCCCCCCCTTGCATCTTTGGGCAGGTGGGCGGCGACGGCTTGGATGTTGACCTCGGCATTGGTGGGGCATTTTGTATCAGGGTCAACGCAAGCAGCACCATATCCAGGTGTGCAACAAAAGTACTTCCTAACAGCAAGCCCCCCTGCCATTTCCCCCCCATTTTGCATGTTTTAATATAGGCCTTAATTTGGGGGGAGGGGGTTAATTTCATTTCATGCCTATAAAACATGCTGGGACTTCCTATTGGGGGAGGCCGTATTGTTGGAGAAACAGGGTAGAAGTCTCCAAACTTGCCAATTTTAAGACTTGTGGACTTCCAACTCCCAGAATTCCTCAGCCAGTATAGCTGGCTGAGGAATTCTGGAAGTTGAAGTTCACAAGTCTTAAAGTTGCCAAGTTTGGAGACCCCTGAACTAGGAGATTGAAGTTTTAGTCCTTTCTCCCTTAGGCATGCAAACTTGACACTCGAGCCAACTCACAAAAACAGAAAAGAGGTGTAGGAAAACCTGTACATTGCCTTGAAAATAAAGGGGGGGAATATACCTCAGATAAATGCTTGGCAATGAATATGATGCTTAGCTGCACACATTTAGTTTTGAATGTAAAAAGCTTTGAAAACAAAATAGAATTAGGTAAGACGAGAATTTAGAGAGTCCAAAGAGACTTCCAAGTTGGGGTGTTTGGTGTTCAGGAATGCATTTTAAGTGCCCTGGTAATTTAACCTGACGTAGGGTGTGTCTTTGGCTAAAATGTCTCCTCCATTTACTAATATATGGGAGAGAGGCTTGTGAGGCAAAGCTATTTTCCCCAAATCTCTATATTTCTGTTTCCATTCAACATAGAGCAGGGGTTCAGCTACTCTCAAAAGACTTGAATAAATAAGCAAAAGTCTCTGAACTCAAGTTTTACCTGAGGACTTCAGGATTTCTCTTCTTAAAACCCAAATGTCTGTTTTCAGAGAAAATCATCCAACGAGGGAATGATCTTGGACAGTTCTTTTGTTCAGGGAAAATAGACATACAATTGAGCTTAGCTCTGCTACCGTCTTCCAATTGCATGCTGAACCTTGGCTGGGTTAATACCATTTAATCTGACAATTGCCTCCCCTGTGATGAATTATTTGTGCTTCTCTGCGATGCAGGCGCTCTCCTTTATGACCCCCTGACCAGTGAGAATGAAAAGAAACAACCTGTCATCACTGAATTAAAAAGCCTGTACACTTCAATATGAAAGCCCAAGTACTTAACTCTTGCTAATTCTCCCTCGAGCCGCTCGGAGCATCCAGAGACTGGGATGTGCTTCTGAGTCCTCTTCTTGCAGGCTGAGCTTTAGATGAGGAAACGCTCCGCCCCCTCACGTGGTATCGCGCAGCGTCTCCCCTGTCTTTTGCTCAGCCTCGAAGAGTCAGGCTGTGTTTCAGAGAGCTCCTTGGCTGATCGCACATTTCTTTACTATTACAACCCTCTCGTCTTGATAAGGTTTGCTTTTCCTTCCTCCTCCTGCGCAAAGGGTCTGGACTTAAGGGAAAATTTTTCCCCGTCCTTGGGGCAAGGCTGCGGGCTCGCAGCGCGATAGCGCGACCCCCCCCCCCCACCCTTATCTGATCGCTTCGCTGCCTCCGCGTTGCCTCGTGGCACGCGTTTTTCTTTTACTGCTGGATTCCCCCCCACCTTAAACACCGATCGGGAGGGTCATCGCCCCTAGGGCCCTAGGCGCTGTGCTGACCAGCGAAGCCCTCCCTTCCGTCCCGAAGGCGTCCCGACGGTTCAGCTTGCGGCCGCCATTTTGGCTCCGCATCGTGGTCGGGCGCCATTTTGAATTTCTTTGCTGCGGCGAATTGGAGCCCCAGGCCTTGGGTCAGAGCTTAGCTGCCCATTTCTTCCACCTGGCTGGCCCTTGTATTACTTGTTGGCCTCCCGCAGCCCGTTTTTCGGGGCGAAGTTGCAGCCCCCCCCCTCCGGTTTTATTTTTCTTGTCTGGAGGCCTGCTGCCAGAGGCTCTTCTTCTACCATAGGCCTCAGGTGTTTATTTGACTAATTGGCCTGTACTGAGATATACGAAGTTCTCACTGTTACGGTTACTGTTTAAAAAAAAAAAAAAAAAAAAAATCTATCTATATATATATATACTTAATACATATACAAAAGGAATATATTAAAAAAAAAAAAAAAAAAAAAAATAACTTTTGTCTTGTACAATAATATTTTTTCGTACATATATAAATATATACGGATAACCTGTATATACATTTGGTACAAAGCATAATAAAGATAAAAATCAATCAAAAGGATAAGGAAGATTTATATTAGAGTATCTATTTTTCTGTACATACTATATTTCTTAGATACCTTACTGTTATCTCTGTACACAACAAATTCCAAAAGGGGGAGAGGGCCAGCTTCACCTTCACCCGGCCTCATCCAGGCCTGATCTGGGCGTGCCAACCGCCTTTGCTAGTAATTGTATCTAACATGGCAGACGACAATCCCTCTAAACGTCCTTCTTTGAAGGCTAAGGCAAAGTCCCACTACTTGCGCAGGCAGGACAAGGAACCTAAGGGCTCTAGACAGGACAAGGAACCTTCCAAGGCCGCCCAACGTGACGCCTTAAGGCGCCACAAAGCGTTGGAAAAAGAGTTTGACCGGCGTTCAAGGGAGTCCCGCTCGGAGCCGTCAATACCTCCTCCTCCAAACCCTTCTACCTCTGCTCAATCTCTCCCCTCAGACCCCTCTTCCCTACCTAGGCGCAGTTCGCTTCAGGGTCTTCCGACCCCCGGACTTCCGACCAGACGGACCCCCGAAGCCACCTTTACACCCACAGCCGCTGGTCTGCGCCACGATGAACCCTCTACCTCCGAGGTTCCACCTCACATCAGGGCTTGGATGGAATCAGCCATCCGCCAGGGCATAGCAGAGGGACTACAACACATGACAAGATCAGGCTTCTCTCCGCGAGCCTCCGAGCACGACTCGATATCTATCAGATCCCTTCCACAACCGGTCCCCCCAGTTGATCAGGTACTCTCTCAGAGGGACAGCCCTCCTCCGATTGGGGCCCAGGTGGAGGAGGAAGGGGACTTTGGGGATTTCAGGGAAGAGGAAGAGGATTCCCGGATGGGATCCTCCCGCTACAGTGAACCCCTCTTAGAGGCTGACATCATGGAAGGGGAGATGTCGGAGGACGAGGACCCTTCTCCCGACCAACCCTCCTTTGGGGGGCTGTTTAAACCGCATATGTTCAAGTCCCTCCTCCTTAAGGCCAAGAATGTCTCTGGCCTTCTTTCACAGTCCGCTGCAGAAACCCCCCCTGTCCCAGAGGGCCCGGAAGACTCCATTTTCACCCAACCAGTGGTGGAAGCTGAGGTCATCCCATCCCCTCCCATCTTCGTAGATCTGGTAGCGAAGCAACTTACCTCCTCAGGGACCCCTCCCACTCCCTCTAGCCAAGACAAGAGATTCTTTAATCTCGATTCGGCTCTGTCTAACCTCCTGAATATCCCGGAGGTCGATGACCCCATTGTGGGTCTAGCCTCCTCCTCTACCCCTAGTGAGGCCCTAGAGGCCTTGAAACCTGAGGACAGGCGGGCGGAGCAGGCGCTACGCAGGGCTCACCTATCTGACGCCTGGGCCATTAAGTCAGCTACGGCCGCCTCATTTTTCACGAGGTCCTCTATCCGCTGGCTACGTCAGCTCAAGGACCACATCCCTGCTTCCAAT